TAGAAAGTAGAATGGTGGTTACCAGGAGATGGAAGGAGCAGACTAGGGAGTTGCTGTTTAATGTGAATAGTTTCAAATTTGCAAGATGAAGAAGTCCTGGAGATGTGTTGCACAGCAACGTGAATATTCTTAACATTACTGAACTATCTACACTTAAAAAAGATGGTAAATTTTATGTTGTATGTTTTTTACTATCACCACAAAAGTAGAAAAATAGTTAACTTTAGAAAGAACAGGGCTGATCTAAAAAAGATTATCTTGAAGGTCAGAGTTTGGCTAATTTGATTGAAAAACTTTTGTAGTAAAGAGGGAGCCAGCATATTGTTAGAGAGTTAAATCACGGAGTGGCATGACCTGTTAGCAACATCTCATCCCCCTCTAGTATCTCATTTTTCTCCCAAATAGCATTATTTTTTGTTTTCCCAGACTCAACTGCCCCATACACTGTAGTAGACATATAAAAGCAGGACTTCTCTGGGAACAAAGCTCCCATCCTGCTGCTAGAAACCCAACTCTTCCCCATAGGAGGCCTTACATCAAACTCCAGACCAATGGAGGTATCTATAATGATAAAAGCGTAATATGCAAATCGACCAAATGGGCAAACAGCAGAATGACCGTCTGGACGACCACGTTATGACATGCACTGGCGCCAGGCCAGCCAAGGCAGGTGCGATGTGATTGGTCGGGGGGCCCCCGCCATCACCCCACAATCGCCCTGCAGAGGGAGGCCGAGGCCACCGGGGCAATCAATCAGGGTGTGTGTGGGGGGCTCTGCAATTGCCCCGTAGAGGGAAGCCCAGGCTACTCAGCCGTCAGCGCTGTGGTGGGGCCTCCCTCTGCAGGGCGATCGATTGAGGGGCTTCTGGACTGTGAGAGGGTGTAGGCCAGGCTGAAGGATCCCCCCCCCACCCCCAGTGCACGAATTTCATGCATGAATTTGTGCACCGGGCCTCTAGTTTGGGTATAACTGAGATAGAAGATAATTTATTTATTTAATGCAATGAAGTACGAAGAGATAAGGGCTGCCTCGGGCAGTCAATGGGAATAAAAACCAAAAGGCAATAAATTTAAAAACTACAGTAGGTCCTCGGGTTATGTCAGAGATCTGTTCCTACAGCGCGATGTAACACGATTTTTGTAGTAAGTCAGAACCCACCTACATAAGCACCTACGTCACTCACATGGAGCACATACACAGCAGTAATGAAGTGAAAACAGTAAAAAAAATTTAAAAGAAAGATAACAATTCCTGACCTTTACTGTGGTATATAAATAATAAAAAACATAGAACACATATCTACCTACGTCGAAATGACGGAACTTTTTCTTTTTTATAAATAATGGGAGATGGCGACGTACCCACGAAACGATGTACGTCGAGTCCGACGTAACCCGAGGACTGTCTGTATTAGTTAGAAAGGGCTAAACACCTGTATGTGAAGACCAGGTCCTCAGGAGGAGTGCCTTTGTTTGATGAAAAGATGTCATGAAAAGCAGCGTGTTAGGCATAAAGCACCTACCTTTGTGAAAATGGTAGGCTAGGCATCCCTAGAGCAATGTTGGTTCCAAGGCATGTTCTTTCCTTCTTCACCTGACTTACTTTTAAGATGAAATCTACTTTCAACCACATTCTTCCTGTGGCATTTAAGCTCCCTTCTCCCCATTCTGGACAGTTCTGTTTTAGCCTGCTGTATTTAATGAACTCCCTGGCAAGCTTTTGTTTTATTCAAGAATTCTAGAGCTGCAAAGTCTGAAAAAAACTGACCTAAGATATTGAAGGGACCAAAATTTTGCCACCCTGAAGCTGCCTTTTTGGCATTTTGATTTTAAATTGTTTATTAAAAAGACAAAAGACTCAGAAAGAACCTTTGGCCCTCCCCCCTTTCCTGCCCAAGAGCTGCAGACAGAAGCCTGCTTTGGGAAGGGAGCCTTGGCTTAATCACCTTGGGAATCTTCACCCTAGCATTAGTCAGGAAGACTCCAGCTTGTCAGCAAGAATATTCCTGCCACTCTTGTTCTGCACTCCCTCAACTACCTGTAAATTGCCCATTCTCACTCCTGAAATCTAAGACTCCATTCCCACCCCCCACCCCCGCCACACCTTTTCTCCTTTGTCCAAAAAATCTTATATATCCAATGTTGCCTGTCTTTGGAATTTTCAGGACGATGTGAATTCCCCATGAACATGTATTAAAACCTTTATTTTCTCCTGTTAATTTTATTAGTCCAGCCTAGAAAAACTTAGAAGTTGAAGAGTATTAATATTCTTTTAGCCCCCACAGTATATATGACGCTTCAGTGGCTTCACCCTATGAGTATCCATTGATTTTGTACATAGCAGTTTCTCAACCAAGATTCTATTGACATGTTGGGTTGGATAGGTCTTTGTTGTGGGGGCTGTCCTGTGTATTGTAGGATGTTTGGCAGCATCCCCAGCCTCTACCCGTTATATGCCAGTAGCATCCCTCCCAGATCCTATAGTCATGGCAATAAGAAATGTCTCCAGACATTCCCAAATGTCCCTGGGGTCAAAATCCCCTTTCCTGTTGAGAACTACTGATACAGAGGACTTACAGGTCCAATTCTAAACTCAGACCCCAATCTGTTTTGGGCCTGCTGCTGTGTTATTCCAGCTTCTCCTTTCTTTTCCACTACTATGGCCATGTTAAACATTAGCTAGCACTGTATTTTTCTTTTATGGGCAGGAAGAGAAAAGAAGCAGCTAGAGATTCTAACACAAGTTTGGGTATTTGCCTACCATACTAGTAAATTAATAGGAGAAAAGGATTACTTAGTTACCTGAAATACAAGGCAGAAGACGTTTGTAGGTACCAGTTTAGGCATTTCAGTACCTGAATGTAAAATTTGTTTCTCTAAATACATGTGTGTGTTTTTTAAAGGTAGAATTTAATAAGTATAAATCCTAACAAAAGAAAAATTTAATTTGTAAGTGATTATGCTTGATCAAAGCATTTAAAATGTCAAAACAAGTGAAGCTTCAGTGGGGGTCTAAAATACATATAAATACTTTTCCTCCCACTTTCTAAATTCTTCTGGTTTGGCTAATAACCAAATTAAAAGATAGATATTAACAGGAGAAAATAAAGTTTAATACATGCACATGGGGAATTCACGTAGACATGATAAATCCATAAAAATTCCAAAGACAGTGAGGCAACATTGGGTATATAAGACATTTCTGGACAAGGAGAAAAGGGGTGGGGGTGGGGGTGAGATAATAGATTTCAGAAGTGAGAATGGGCAATTTACAGGTAGTTGAGGATGACAAAACATACTTGGCAAGAAAATCCCTGCTAAGTGACTGAGAAACAATGGGGCACAGTGGGTATCTAGCTAATAGGCACCTGCCTGAAGCTCTCTTGTTTACCCTACTTAATTCAAACTGGGCTAAGATCTCCTTCCAGAAGCTGGGTTCTTTGTCTGAAACTCTTGGGCAGGAAAGGGGGGAGGGTCAAAGGTTCTTTCTGGGTCTTTCGTTTCTTAGTAAACAGCTTAAAAATCAACATCCCAAAAAGCAGCTTCAGGGTGGCAGAATTTTGATCCCTTCACATCCCATCAAGCATCTTTCATCATTGGATTTAAATCCCTCACAATGTTGGTCAAGTCTTAATATGCAGAGAAAGCAAGGTGGATATAGATGAGTTATCCTTTCTATAAGACTCTCCATGCTAGATTAGAGTTTGAAACCCGGGCTTTCTAAAATGCCTAGTGTGTCACATGTTCAGTGTAATCTGAAATTCATAATGTTCTAGGCCAGACAGGTGACCTCTTAAGTAACACGTTTGGGCCATGTTTGGACTAGTAGTTTCTTAGTCTCTCATTAGCCATCATTTGTTTTGCAATACCTGAGGCTTCTTTATTTCTAGAGATCTTCCTTAATGTCATCTTATCTGTATTTTGGTATTTATACAATATATTTTATTTCCCTCATTTTATACTCGTCACCAGCTATTGTATGGCTAACCTCATCTGCCTCAGGGTGAAGCAGCTCCTGAGGTGCTCATCTCCTGGACCTAACAGAGGTCTCTCAAAGGCCTCTGGGTTATACTACGTTGCCCAGGCAGTGGCAACATCACCATGAACTTCCCTGACTCCAAGTTATAGATTCACAAAATGTCTGACATAATTTTTCAATAAAAATAAACAGCAAAGGTTATATCATGTTTACTTTTTAGACTAACGTTCCAAACTTTAAGTAAAACTTCCTCCCATGAAGGAAGAGAAAATACATTTAAGAAAGTTGCCACTACTACTCAAAAACTAAAAGGAAAATAAAGCAACATTGCATAACTGTTCTAAATAGCGACTACATAGACTACCAAACTAAAACTCAGAATGTAAAAACACGATCACATACATTAACGCTAACTTTTATATTTCAAATGATCATTTTTCTCTTTTAGGCAGAAATTACCCTCCAATGTGGCCCTTATTCAGCTGAGCTAAAGGATATATGGGAACAACACTAGTATGCACATAAGGCTGATAAAACAAAATCCAAGAATTTAAAAAAAAGGCTGAGGGACAGAGGAATGAGAAATGAAGTCCAGTATCTTTTCATTTATCAATTTAGCAGTTTATTTATGATACTCCAGCTCAGCCATTTCAGTAATCTTCATGGTTTGCATTAAAAAGTCAGAGCTGTTTTAAGGCCCCCTACTGATACCTCATCAGTGAGAGGTAGACTTACAAAACAAATATTCCCCTCTCTGCCCTAACCCACCTTTCATGCACAAGAGTCTATAAAAATGGTGCATTATTACTTATGAAAGAATGGGTCAGGGAATGATCAATCCGTTTTTCAATCTATTTGCCTTCACAAAGCAGGATTCAGCATATAAGATAAAATTCTACATGGGAGAATGGACTGTTTTTTTCTATTTACCTTAATATTTATTTGAATACAATTTTGAAAATTGGGGAATGAAATAATAAACTATATGATACTGGCAAGGTAATTAATAAACTTAACTCACCATTTTTTAGGCTTTGACAATGGTTTGTATTTGCTGTATTTTACACGCCATTCAAGAACTTCTTTACAGCGCTGACATACTCCATCATGAAGTTTTGTATTAATTTTCTAAAAAAACAGAGAAAAGCAAATTGAGAATTTCATCTGTGCGCTAGCATTGCAAACCCCATGAAAAAGGCACACAAGAAATTTTTTTAAAAACAGCAATCTAACTGTAATCTGTGTTAACACCTTATATGTATTTTAATGTACATTCCTCAATTTTTCTTTACAAAAGCAAAGATGCTTCACTGGTGTTCCTCAGAATCATCTAAGAAACTTTTTAACCTGCAGGAGTGTTTTGAAAGTCCTCACCATTGATTCTGATGTGCACATATGTTAAAACTCAAACTGTACAGTTAACGTATGTGCATTTTACTGTATGTAAGTTATATCTCAATAAAAACATAATAATAAAGAAAACCTAATTCATATTTTAAGACTCTTTTGACAATTCACACTTTACCATTGAGAAATAAGAAATTAGATTTAGAAATGAAATAGTCCGAAATTGTCAGTCTATAGCGAGACTATGAAACTTGAGAAAGGAGTGCCAGGGAGAAGCAGTTGCAAGCAAGAAGACATTTAATTACTCAGTTGAATCCTTTTGTATTCTCATGTAAAGAAAAATGTTTTAGAAAAGTTACCTTGCTAATCTTGTTTCTTCAAGACAGAAAATAAACATTCATGTGCAGTAGATATCAGTGGTGGGAAAAGGGCTTCACGAGGGGGAAAACCCCATTTTTATTATAATTTTCTTTTCAAAGTGTGTTGGGCATTAAGGAGGATGGACATTTTTTAAATGTGTTGTGTTCTCCATAATAGTTTTATAATTGATAATACGTTCATCTGATTTAGAACCTAGATTCTATATTTTCACTAAGTCCTCTGAGAATTCTCTAACTTACTTGTGGTGGAAGCCTGGTCTTTGCCTACTGTTGGAATAATGAGTGGAGAACATTTTACGTTTTCTTTGCTTTTATTTCCCTTTTGTGTTTCTCAAGAGGAAAAAGAAAAGCATCACAAAAAAAGCGGGTTCTTTGGAAGGTTATTTTTATTTGATACTGAATTAAAAGTACAACGTTTAATGATCATCTGAAACAAAACTTCCGAACAGGGCTTGCTATTCTTCAAAGTTCTAAACAAGAAGGCAAAATAATTTCACAAAACATTTATCCAAAGAGAAAGTATTTCATAGGATATTTTTGAACACCATAAATTGAGCTGTGAATATATTGTTTCAATTTAACTCTGTGGTGAAAAACGTAATTCTGTTACTTAATGAATTGTGTATGAGTATTCCTTTCTTCCTGACCTAGACGGAGAGTCCCTGAGAAAATAAATTCTGCGTGCCATTATACTTCTTCTTTCTGTGGTCTGCTAATTATTGCCCAAAAGAAGGAAATCTGTGCTTGATATCAAACTCCTCTTCTGAGCAACCTTGATCCTTAGTTATCGCCTACAAGGCTTGCTAAGAAATCCCCAGAACCAAAGTTCACATTTCATCATTTGTTCTCCCTGCCTTCTGTTGCCTACAGTATCTTACTAAAAGCATTAGGTATATTTTCATAACTCTAGCACTGGGAACAAGATAATGACTTGACTATGATTACAATATGAATGTGGTATAAACTTTCTAATTAGAATATGCTTAGAATGCAAAGTGTTTCCTTACCTGAAATTTGATCATATATAACACTCTGCTTGTTAACTAGGAAGCATTACTTGGTTTCTTGTTTGTTTCTGTATCCAATTTCTGACCAGTTCATCTTGATTTACAAAGCTGCGCATAGTTTTGAAACTGGTTTCTTTAGGTGGATTGACAGTAGAACAAAACAGGTCTTTGTGGGAACTTGTCCTGTGAGCGATGTGTGAAGCAGTATAAATGCAGATGCTGCACAGAGCTCACATAACTAACAGGCACTACTACAAAATTAAACTTGATTTCCATGGGTTAAGAAATGAATGGAAGTAAGAATAAGAATAGTACTTTCACTTAAAAATAGCTGCAGAAAGAGAGAGAACTGAACACCTTGTTTCCTGAATTTTGGCAAACTAGAGAAAGTTAATTCCAGAGATGTGAGCAATGAAAGCTGTCTTAGCTTTAGGAATCATTCTGCCTGGGGCAAAGAACTCAGCAATCCTATGGTACTCACACCTGTGATGTTTACAGCTAACCCTGTTTGTGCGATTTATTTTAGCATATCCCTCATGGTAGAAGATTCACCGGAAATGGATTTTCAACAGCAATTAGAATCGGAATTTTTCTTGAGAATTTCATTTTTAACTCTATATTTTTAATTAATTTAGGGAGGTATAATATGCCACTGTTTTACTTTTAGCATTCCTGAAAGAATTATGGTGTACAAAAAAAACCCAAACTTAATGAACCATTATATCAGTTACTCTTGAATGATATTCAAATTCTTTCCCCCTCACAATAGTATTATCTTTCTGTTAAAGGACACTTTATATTAAGATTATTAAGGTTAAGATTTAAGCATATAACTATAAAATCGAAATATAAAATAAAAACTTAGTTTTCTAAGTGCAAAAGCCTTGAAAGATCATTTAATTCAACAAGGCTACTTTCAAGATCTTTAAAGAAAAAAGATCTTCTGTGGGAGGTTCCACTGAATTTAGGAATCTCAGTTAAAGAAGAAACCTTATTTATCAAGTGAATACTTTTTTTAAAAAGGTCAGAATAAAGTTAAGGTGTATCAAAAGACACTATTACTTAATATATACATAAAATCTTAGCCATCACTAATTCATACAGCATATTTATAGTAAATGTTATCCCTGCTCTAAATATTCTGCTGTCAGACAATGCACTTTGGTAATATAACACAGCAATCCCAAAAAGAAATTGGGTGAGGACTTCAAATCCCAAGAAGATAGCAAGAGTAAATTGTAAATATAACATCTGAATCAACATGCTGATGCTGAAAAATTTTACAAAATATAAAGTATCCTTTGACTGTTAAGGATGAAACTATTGTGTGTGTGTGGGGGGGGGGGAAGAATTTGAATACCATTCAAGAATAATATAATCTTTCATTATGATTTTTTGTACATCATAATTGAGAAATGCTAAAAGTGAAACAATGGCATTATTTCATGTCCTTTATTAATTGGGGAAAGATAGGCTTTAAAAATGAAGTTTTAAGGAAAATTTCAGTTCTTACTGCTGTTGAAAATCCATTTCCATGGAATCTCCTGCATTAAACCTCTCCACAAAATAAGACGTTTTATATCTTAATCATATTTAAGTATATATTATTTTTAAGTTTTCTGGTAACAGTCCCTTAGTCTAAATTTGATTAGAGGATAAAAGATCTCTGGATTTGGGAGCAAGAACTTACTAGTACTAATATATAACTGTCTTTTAGGCTGTGGCTTTCAAATCATAAGCTACATTTTAAATCCTTTTAATATGGTTAGCACATCGTGGGGTATCAAGTATCTTATAAAATAAATACAAGCAAAAAAAATAGATGAGGGAATCAGATTGGGGGAAATGAGGGTAGGTAGGGAAAATTAGGAAGCAGTCAGGAGTGCTGCTGGGAAGTGCTCCTGCTAGAGATGAACTACAAGGGGGATTTGAACTTTCTAGCAGCCAGTAAGACATAAGCTCTGCTCCTACCTAACTCAGCGTCTGTAACATGCCAAAATTCTCAGAAACAGCACAACTGATCCTGTTATTCAAACCCAAAGTTTCATCTTTCCCAAAGAGAACACCCACCATACAATACAGTAAGCAATGGTCTCTAAAACATCCTTACAATACAAAGCATTTCACAGAGCTGCTTTCTACCCCAGTTCTCAAAGTGCACGTTATATAATGCTAAGCACGGTATGGCAAAAAAAAGTTATTCTTAGGGGTGCAATGCAGGTACAGCTGCCTGATATTTTCGTAGGATCTATAGCAACGCACTGCATATCATAATGACATCAGGAATAGTACTCAACTGAGTCTAAAAACATTCTTCTCTATTATGAAAATTTCCAAACATGCAGAAAAGTTAAAAAAGTAATACTTATACATAGCCATATATACACTGTATAGAGACAACTATTGGCATTTTATCTATTTGCTTCTTATGTGTGTGTATTTAAAATAAGTTGCAGACATCAACACACTTCACCTATTAATTATATATATCCTAGAAAAATTTTCTCCTACTTAACCACAATACTGTTACCCATACTTCAGAAAAATGAAAAATAACTCCAATGTTATTGAATGTAGCCATCTACACTGACATTTCCTCAACTGCCCGCCTTGTTTATCTCTCTTTTGATCTAGAAGCGTTTCCTCTATTACACTGTTTTTGAAAATACTAGGCAAGTTGTCTTCAAGAATATCCCACATTATGGATTTATCTGATTGTTTTCTAATGGTGTAATTTAACTCACTGCTTTATCTCCTATATTTTTATAAAGTGGAAGTTCGGTTTAAAGTCTTGATTGGATCCAGGTTTAATACTGCTTATAATAGTTCATACAGGCTGCTGCTATGAACTTCATGTTACTCTAAGTCATGAAGCACAAAATGTCCTGTTCTTGCCTAGTCAGCAATGAAAAATTTGACGGATCACTTGGTTAAACTGGATAGCAATGACCTCTTCTAAGTATAAAGATTAGCAATAATCTATGGGGGTCATTTCAATATACTGGTCCACAATAGCATTTCACATCATGATTTTAGCATCTATTCAATATCCTTTGCCTGAATAAATCATTTTAAATGTTAACTTTATCATGCTTTCTAAATTAATTAATTTTTTAAAAGGTTCACAGCTAATGTCAGTTTTGAGGTATAATCTCTATACAGTAAAACTATGGTTCTATGAATCTGACAACCAAAAAATAGTACACTTCCATCACTCTAAAAAGTTCCCTTATGCCCCTCCGTGGTCAATGCCCGCTAACACTCCCCAGGCAACACTGATTCTTAAAAAAATATTTTTATTGATTTCAGAGAGGAAGGAAGAGGGAGAGATAGAAACATCAATGATGAGAGAGAATCATGGATTGGCTGCCTCCTACATGCCCCCCACTGGGGA